GCAGCCGCAGCGGCGAGTGCCCTGCTCTCGGGCAGCGCTGCAGCCTGCGCAGCGCTGTGCCGCCTACAAACACCCCGCGCCCCCACGGATTTAACGGGAGCTCCATCGTCACTGCGGCTCTAACGCTAAGGAGTTGCAACCATCAGTGAGAACTACAACGACAGCCTTCAGGAAAGGACAGGCAATCAGCAGCCAAGAGGGCTGATGCAGTCCCACCTCGGGAAAACTCAAGGAAAACAGTAAAATTATATGTCCCTGAAAGAACAGACTTGGACACAGGGCAGATCTCAGCAGCAGTTGCTCTGTTAGTTGCAGGCACCAAGATAAGCTGGTGTCATTGGGAAACGGAGAGTGTGACGCACGCAGAACGTGCAGCGCTGTTTGGCTTTCCTGTTTCTCTTGCGAGGAGCTGCAGCTGCTTATCCAATTACCAGGCGATCTCGAGAGCAGCCAGGTGCATCGGGTTGGCAGCTCACCTCAGATATTTAAAGCAAAGACTCATCCTCAGGAAGACAGCTGAAGGAGGCCAGTAAAACAGTGACACCAAGTTAAATATATCTCTACACCCATATAAACACAGAGAGATTTGCTTGACAGTCCAGAAAGGAGGAAAGGTCTGGCCTTAATCCATGCCCTGTTGTGATTCTCAATGTTTTCTTCTTTCCCTTGCTTTAAAAAACTCCTTACACCCCTCCTGCCCAGTGTCTGTGACTAGATACCACCTGTGTCAGGCCCCAAATCCTCTTGATACATTAAAGACTAACAAGAATTAAGGAGAACAGACACGTCTACAGCAGGAATAGCACTGGTTTGAGTACACAGAGCTTTTCCAGCACTAAAAAAGTGGAAAAAATAAGAACCAGTGTTACTACAGGGCGCAGTGTAGAAAGCTAGCCTTTCATTACAACGCTTTTTGCGATGGTTAGTTGTCGTTTTCATGGTTAATCCATCCCCTTGTTTAACGCATCACAGATAAGATCTTCTTTACTATGGCCGCCGTTACTGGGATGCTGCCAAACAGCCTAGATCTTACCGAGGTTGATGGGCGCTTTCCTCATGGCCTACAGAGAGCAGCACAGCGGAAGCACCGACTGACAGTGCAGAGTGCAATGCTGTTTCCAGGCACCAAATACTCATGCTGGACAAACGGACAGTGCAGAGGGCAATGCTGTTTCCAGCCACGCCGCATCCCGGGTGTCCAGGCACCAAATACTCATGCTGGACAAACAGTTAATGCTTGAAGAGACAAAGAGCACAGGTTCCCCAACTCTCTGCGCTCCAGCCCTGCAAGCAGCATCAGCAAGACGCTCGCAGAGGTGCGAGGGAGCAGCTGCCCGGTGCTGGCGCTCCCGGGGGAGCTCTCTTGGTGCCCTGCCTCGGCACAGCACCAGCCCTGCACATGGAGCCTTAGCCCACGTGCGCCGAGAAAGCCCCAGCACCATTTGGTGCTCAGAGACAGGGGCTGGCACATGCATTCTGAAGAGTCTTTAGGAAAATGTCTTCATAGGAAATCAACAATTACAGGGGAGACAAGGGCCTGCGACGGCATCTCTGACTGTTAATTGCTTGGTATTGGTACGTGACCGAGACAAACTCTTCTTGGAATCAAGAATGTATTTCAGTCTCTGAACCAAAACAAACTTCAAAGAAACTGAAGGAGTAGGAGCTTTTAGCTCTCTAAACACATTAGTTTTAGCCCAAATGACGCATCAATACTCACCATGTCTTAGCTATAAATAGCTCTAATACATGACTATAATTTTATTAGCTCTTCAAGCAGAAACCAGCGGGAAACACCCTCCAGTAGATTTGCATCCCGTGTATTAATTTCTTTGTAGTCCCCTATGAGATCTGGGGCTCCAGCTCCCACATGTCTTCCTAGAGTTTCAAACTACTGGCAATCATCACCTATGAAATCACCACCACCAGCTGACGCCCACGCATTTCAGTTTAACAAGTTTCAACCTCAGTCCTTAAGGATAAACAAATGCAAACAAAAGTGAATGCAAGTTAAAACACAAAAGAAGTTTTCCATGAGAGGCATTAGTCCAGCAAACACTCACCTGATACCAGAGGCAAAGTTATGTTTCAAACTGTGTTAAGAGATCTCTTATTTCTGGAGTCAGATGCTCTACTGCCTTTGCAGCTTCTGTGATTGCTTTCCGATACATCCCTTTCTTCTTGCGATTAAATCTCAGTTTGAAAAATTCAGAGAAAGGAGAGAGTTTTGAAACAGATAACAATGAAGTTGTTGGAGAACCAAACCACGATACTTTAGCTTCTCGCCATGAAGGTTCCCCATTTTCCTTCTGGCTAAGGTTTATATCAAGAACACGTGCGGGCCACCATGGAAAACCGTGAATTTTACCCCAAACAATATCTCCCACCGAAACAGTTCTTCCGTCTTCAGTGACGCATTTAGACACACTTTGCGTATGTAGCCTAACTGTTAAGGGTGGCACAATCTTACGCTCATCTTTTGAAGATGAAGAGACAGATGCATCATCACCAGGTATAAAGTCACACATTTCTGGTGATGTTACTTCTGAACTAGAAGACTTGGATTCATCTAGACTGTCATTACTACACACGGACAAACTAGAAGAATCTGCTTTTCTTTTACGATAATTCATTAGGAACGCCAAGTTATCGTGTCCATCTTTACCTTGGGGAAATCTTTTAAAGTCATCATCTTCCCCTGAACTCCCTGAAGATATCTCAGCTAAACTTCTGTCTGTAGATTCATCATTGTAAAATGCACCAGGATTGGACTCCCTGCTGTTCTGAAGGACATTTATCTCATCAATAAGTTCTGCTTTATAAATTGAAACATTCTGACCATCATTTATTCGATGGGGCTTCAGTCGGATCTTTGGAGGTGGAGCATCTGCACTGGAATGCACAGGCCGTGTGAGCTTCAGTTTTGGAATGGAAGCAAGCTGGCTGCCCGCTGACTTGTCCATTAAACATTTGGTTTCTCGACATGGCTCAGAGTCTCTAGTCTCTTCTTGGTCCTCCTCTCCATTCTGCAATATTCGCTGGGCACAAAATGGTTTGACTGAGCCGTGAACCCGCGAAGGAATTTTCACAACTTCACCTTTCCCTTGCGGAGTACTGTAGGATATTTTTATAACTGGGGTTCGATGCACTAGTTCCCCAGAAAACTTGTCCTCCTCTCTCTTTTCTCTCTTGTTTCTTTTCTCGGTGCAGTCAGAGTCGCTGTGCTTTTTCTGCTCCTTGTCCTGCAGGCTCAGCTTCCTCCTGGTTTTCGCGTTCTGCCCAGCTGTGTTGGCGTCCTCGGGGTTCAGGGTGTTTTTGCACTTCTCGCAGAGCACCTGCCTTGGCCGCAGTCTGATAGTGCTCATGATCAGCCTCCCCGGGTCTCTATTCCGTGACAAACGTCTCCTCGTCCGCTTTATAGTCCGCGGCGGGGGCTGAGGAACCCACTGGTTGTACGTGTGCCGAAGCCAGAGAGGACGAGGAAAAGGAGCCCCCTCGAAGTAGGGCGGGTAGGGAGGGAGGCTGCCGGGTGGCGGGGGCGGCAGGAGCGGCGGCACTGGCTCCTCAGCGCTGCCTGCGGGAGCCTTTTCCTCGGCGGGCTGCGGCTCGGCCTCGCCCGGCGCAGGGGCCCGGGGAGCGCTCGTGGGAGCGGGAGGCTCCTCTTGCTTCGGAGGGGAAGGCGGAAGGCAGAACAACCCGGACCTAGAAACAGCACGGAAAGGATGGGGGAGGCAGACGGTCAGAACCTTCGAGAGAGACTTCTTGGGGAAAACTATGCGTTACAAACACGCTATTTTCTTTAAAAACAGACTTCCACATACTAATAAGGCAATGTTTTCCCTTCATTTTTAAAACATAGCAGTCAGTTCTATTACTGAAGGAAAAAAACAGCATTTAAAATTTAGAAAAAGTGACCTGCTCTTCTGCAGAAAGGGCACAGAGAACAACAGAGAACAACAACAGCAATCTCCATTTCCATTAACTCCTCGCACAGACTCAGACGTTTTGCACCAAGAAGTTGTACTCTAGCACAGGAGGAGACACTCTGGGGAGCTACTAAGGTTCCTCACTTTATCCTGTACTTGCACGACTGCTTTTTTGGCTTCTTAAACAATGCAATGCAGTCCCAGGCAGAGGTTTGCCAGTACAGTCTTGTTCCTCTACCACTGGCCTTTGTTTTCATGATCTTTATCTGTTCAAATACAGAATACGCCATTGCTTCAGGACACCAAGATCAGAGGTGTGATGTACTGGCGTCCCTTGCCACGTTTCCTTACAGGCTGTCAAAATCCTGCAGAGGAATGAGCAGAAGGAAATGCTCCCAAACCCTGGAACTCCTGACCTTGGCTCATGCCTCTGTGCACCGGTGGTTAGGCTGCACCCGACACGGGGTCTGATGCCGACACGGAGCTTCAGCACGAGCCTACAGCGAGGCAGGCCGCCCGCCGCCCTGCCCTCCCAGGAGCGCCGCTCACGTGGGCAGCCCACGCGGCAACATGGGCTGCTCCAGGCCGAGGACACCATCCTCGCCAGGCACCTGCACCTCCTGCATCCCGAGACAGCCCCTCTCCCTGCAGGAAGGACTGTGCCAGGGCAGTGCTCCCAGGCGGGGCTCACAGACCCTCTCCATCACACGGAGCTAGGGCAGGAGCGCTCAGCGAGGCCCCACGGCCGCTTCCCTGCTCCATCCCCGGTATGGACACGGTGCCAGGAATGCTCCAGGCGGCCGCTCCATGAGCGGAGAGCAGCCGCTGGAGGCCAGGAACGACCCCAGCACAGGAGAGGGGCTGCTTTCCCTACCACCTCCATGGGCAGCAGGGCACACGGGTCCCATTTATTGCGGCTCTCACCCGCTGGCTTCATATTTCTTTTCTCAGCCAATTCCAGAGAGCATCGCTCTCACCTGATTTCCATGGCGACTCCCACCAAGTTTAAAAATAAACTTTGTACAAACTAAGCAAGCAGAATTTAGCCTGTTTCGGGTGCAAAGCCACTGCTCCTCTTCAACTGAAATAAACGACATTTACCAATTTATCTGGATACGAAAGAAATAAGTTCTCTCCCTCATCTGAAGAGCAAGAGAGCAAGAACCTGCTACTAGAAAAGCAGTTAGTTCAACTGGATGACTTCCAGGTTTGAATGCAGGTGATCAAGACGATTAAATTGCTGAATTTACATATTTTGGAACAAATGTTTTTGTTGCAATATTCTTTTTAAGCAGAGACACCTCAGAATTTAGGTGTGTCTCTGATACCTGGCAAGGCGAGCAGAGCCAGGCCAGCTCCGCCCGTGAGCCTGGATGGAGCAGCCCGCTCGCTCGCTGGCTCCAGAAGAGCTTTGCCACTCCCGCGGGACGAGCTGCCCTGTGGCTGCTGCTCCCGCGGGACGAGCTGCCCTCCGGTCTGCTTGTGGGCCCTGTTGTCCCATGCAAGCAAGCGGACGGCCGCAGTCCTCATTTCCCTCCTCAGCGGCTGGCGGAGCTTCTCGCTTGGCAGGCGCCAGGCGCTCAGCACCACACTCGGCGAGGGAGCAGTTTATGTGCGCCAAAGGCAACGTCGCCAGTTCTCCACGATCCTGCGCATCTCGGTGCTGCAGGGACCCTCGGCCTTCTGGCCTAAGGCCTCCCTGGAAGTGGCTCTGCGGAGGAAGCTGCTGGCAGGGATCAGGTACCTCTGTGCAGCCCGACTGCAGTCGGACCACAGTCTGACTCTGGGCTAACTCGCCCCTCAAGCTGCCAGCCAGGGCAGGAGGGTGCCGAGGAGCTGCACAGAGCCTAGCGCTGCCGCGGCCGCGCGCGGGCGCCGAGATGGCTGCCGCGCTCCCCTGCCTGCCGGCCCGTGCGTCTCCTGCGCCAGCGCGCAGGGCTGCGTGCACGGCAGCGGCGCTCGGCCCTCACACACGGCCCAAGTCACCGTCTGACCCTGGGGCCCTTCAGTGTAAGCAGAAAAAAAACACCCGAGAGCGCCAGGTTACGTGGGGTTTCTTTACGCCCTGCACACAGCTTCTTCCTGCTAAAGATGCACCAGAAGCCTGGAAGCCACCTCAGGCTAGCTGGGCTACGGGAAGCACAGTGCCTTGTACGCGGATTCCCTGGTTTCCTGCTCGTGGTGCAGGAGCAGATGCTCCACGGTTTGCTTTCTGGTCCAAGTTTCCTTTGGACACAAGGAGCAATACAAACTCTCCTGGCCTTCCCCATGTTAAATGCCAACATTATTCAGGCATTTCCTCTAACTCTGTATCATCATCATCAATTCTGCACACACAAATCCCTTCAACTACCGTGAAAACCGACGAGTTTGGTTTAGGGGCCCAAGGGCACATCCCATATTACAAGCATCAGAGTGCACTGCAGACTGCGATCCAACCCTCTGCCTTTAATCCCTGTTTCTGGGACAGTCAGGGCCAAACGGATTAAGTTACCTCAATCCAACCTCTCCTTGGAAACGAAGACGCCATCCTCTGATCCACACCCCTGCGTGGTTAAGAAACAGCTCGTGCCCAGCTCAACTGAGCCAAACTGCAAAGACGCAGCACCAAAGCATTGTGGCTGTAGTCAGAATTCATCTGGACCTTTCTTTGTGTGCACAAACACTGTGCACCTATAGTGCACAGGAATTATCTTATTAAAACAAGGCGATTGCCAAGGAATTCATGGTGAAGAGCATGGCTGCTGCAGGCGCCCGGCACAAGCTGCCACCGTCCCTGCTCCGGGTCATCCCACGTCTGTTTTAAGCATGTCCCGCTGCTGCTCCAGGCCCACTGTGAGGCAGGCTTGGCAGGGAGGGCCTGCCTGCCCCCCAGTTTCCCATGCTCCCCAGCTTCCCATGCCCCCCCCTGTGCGCTAAAGCACGGATTCATCTGAAAACCTCGGAGGCTGCTTCTCACCACTAAAGAGCAGGACCCGTGCGTGCTGCCCGCTCCGGAGGGCCGGGCTGCCTTCGCCGCGAGCATGGCAGGCAGCGTTGCCACTCCTGTGCAGCCCCGACACGGCCAGGAGGGCAGCCCCCCCGTGCAGCTCCTGGCTGCGCGCTCAGGGAAGCGCCTTCCTCCACGGCTCTGTCGGCACACTGCAGCCCCCCCGAGCGCCACAAAACGTGACGAGGTGTCGCTGCCCCGGGGATGCAGCACCTCGCTCGGCCCTTAGCAGCGGCCACGCAAGGTGAGGGGGCCAGGGCCTGGCCCCCTCCGGAGCTGCTGCACCCCTTGGACCCCAACCCAAGCTCTGCAGGGCCAGGATGGGGCTCCCTTCATCCCTAGCGGACGGGAGCCCATTCCCGCTGGCGGGCGGCACCGTGCACCCCTCGCCCTGCTCGCGCCCTGTCCGCAGCCCCGAACATGCCACCGGGGACAGCGGGGGGACGAGGCCCCGCGGAATTGTCACACCCGAGCAGCAGGGAGGAGGGAGGAGACCTCCGGCCCGCAGCTGCCGCAGCCTGTGCGGAGCGGCCGGCGCGGGCACCGTGCGGGCACCGTGCGGGCACCGTGCGCAGCTCCCCGCGCAGGGTCTGCGGCCACGCGGGCCCCTCGCCGCCCAAGGCGGCCCTGCAGGGCCGGGCTTCTCCCGCCCCGCGGCCCCGCCACACAAGCGCGCCGCGCGCTCCCACCGGCTCGAGGGGACGGGGCCGTGGCCGCGCTCCCGCCGCACCGCCGCGCGGCAGTGCCCCCAGCGCAACGCCGCGGAGAGCCGCGCAGAGCCGCGGAACGCCGCGCAGAACCGCGCAGCACCGCGGAGAGCCCCAGAGCGCTGCGCGG